AACAATGCAATCATCAATTAGTACAACTAATTTATTCTTATTCATTTGTCTGTGGATTTCCACTTTTGTAGTAACTGGTTAGTACTTATCGGTTAAAGGCATATGCCAATGAATAAAAACTAATCCTCCCATCAATATTTTCTTATTGTGCAAGCAAAGTATTTTCGTGGAAATTATCTTAAATTGAAAAAATAAGTATACTCTTCACATCACAAAATAATTATCGTAGTTAATTTATGAAATATGATAGATCTTTTTATTGATTTTACAATACGCAGTTGTGATTTTAATTTCTTCTATGAATAATTTCTATTTTAAACGTCATGTTAAAGTTTACTTACATAAATCGATTGTTAAGTTAATGTTGTGTATAATATATTTTTTAGATATTTGCGAAATTTGTCATATTTTATGAACTACTAATGAAAAAAATTAATTTAAAATTTAAGGATCGCTGAAACTATAATCATTCAATGATTTTTATAAAAAAAAAACATTTAAAATTTAAAACTGTAGAAATAGATAGAACACCGTGTAGGTACATATAATTATATTAGACCTCACAAATTTGACTACATTCGTTTTAGAATCTAATGAGATCAGTACACAAATTAGTTGTCTCATAAAATGTATACGTCACTAATAATGTCTTATTAGTTATTATTGTGAATTTAAACTGTAATGTTTGAATATTTCCACTGCAATAACCTGTTTTTACCTATTTATCGAAGTATTTATAAAAAATAATAATAATGTCTACATCAGAATCCATTCGATTGCGAAGCCGTAAGTATTATCTACGTAAGTATGGACTTAACTAATACTTATATGAATGAAGTTCAATTTATATATAAAACATTGCTATTAATGAGTTTTAAGAAAAAGCATTCATATCTAAAGTTACACAATGGCATTGAGAAAAATAATACATGACATTTTTGTTTTCGTAAGATCAAACTGTATAGCGTAATTTTTTTTAGTTCGCTATGTCTGACATTTTAAGCAAGTATAACTGAACATTATTTAATCGGAATCCGATGAGAAATCAAATTATTTTAATCAGGTTGGTTATAAATTATTACAGTACATACAGACAGTTAAAGTAACTTTTATTTACTTATCAAAATAACCCCAAAGTAAACTATGATGCATTTTCATATTTGCATTAAAAATTTGGAGATTAATTAATAAAACATATTTTTATTTTTATATTAATATTATACATTGCATAAGAATTTGAAATGCATTTTATAAGAAAAATGTACCAAACTAAGTTCAGTTAGTTGAAGTAAAAATGCATTTATCTTAAAAAATTTTAAATACCTACCTAGTACCTATGTACAGTGAAAATATTTTTTTTATTTACGTCACAATTTATTTTAAGTCTTCCAAATTAAAAATATTTTGAGACAAATTAATATTTAGAAACTTATGATATTTTAACAAAATTATACTATGATAAATCTTCAGAAAGCCAACTTTTGAGTAGTTATGAAATACCTTTCAAATGCTAATATCTATCTTACATAAATTCAGTGAACATTTGAAAACTCATTCTTGGATTGTAATAAAACAAAATAACCAAAATAGATAAAGTAAAATACGATTCTGTCGTAAATCGTATACACTGCCAATACTTTAGTCAACTCTTCGAATACCTACTACGACCACTGATAAATTCCAAAAATGATTTACCTAAAATAACATCTGTGTTCAATTTTCAATTGGAAAAGTGGCTATATAAAACTTGTGGACAACTACTCCGAAAAAAAAAAATACCACCAAGGACAAAAATAAATAAAACACTTCGTATGCACGTACAAAACTCGTAACATAATAGATTCCTCACTCCATCCGTTCGAAATATTATTAAAAAAATATTTAATTCTATAGAATATAAATAGTTTATTTATTCCTAAGATTATCTTATTTTGAGTGCTATTATCCATGGTACATTTGTATTTTAAATATTGTTTGTAAATAATGTATTTCCCATTAAATAATTTTAATTGTTATTTTGTTTGTTAAAAATCGAACAGCCAAATTATTATTTTTTTAATTACAACAATATTATATCAAAATAACAATATTTTTTTATTTTATAGTGTTACTGGTTCCTAGTAGGTATACAAATTTAATGGACAAATATTTAGACTCAAATATCTATCAGTCATTACAATGAATCATGATAGAGTAGAGTTTTTTAAATTTTTAAATATTATTTACTACTCATTGATTTGAAAATTGCATTATATTTCACGATATACATACTATGCGTCTATACCTAACTCATGCAAATTAATTTGTTCCAAATTTATACCTACCGTGTTCACCACGAACAGCTATTATAATTGTATTAAACGTATTTGAATTTGAAAATACCTGAAACACTGCAGCCATTAGATATAGGGAAAATTATTGTTTAGACTGTGCGTATCGATGTATAGCTGCAAATTGCAATTTAAGTGATAACTTACTAATAAATCACCATTCAATGATAATTTATGGGTATGATTCCGCATAGAGCAAAGGTACATTGAAGTTACGAAAAAATACGACCCCGAAAACTCTCCTCTAATAAATTTAAAATGTAGAAATTTTTTTTCGGAACTCACTAATATAATTAAAGACAACATTAAATAGAAATAATTGTTAGTATATGTACAAAGTAATATGAAAAATTGGTTTCTTTTTAGTTTTAATACTCACACTCCGAGACTGAAATTTACTGAAAAATCATTTGTTATTATGACGAATTCGATATGACGATTTTATTTCACTAAATATTGTTATAATTCACCTTTCTTTGTATCAATCAAACAAATTTCAATTTGTCGTAATTTAAAAAAATGATGTGAGTACCTACTTATGCAGGTTATAAACTATAATATTATTCTATTCTCGTGATATGTTATACGTTCGGAGGAAATTTATGTGCTACTTTTCAACTTAGTAATATCAATAATGGGTAATAAAATATATTCTCAATAGGTGCATAACAATATTGTAAGTACATATACTTTTTTTTTGTTTTGTTTTGCCAACATAATAAAATTATTATGATGAAAAAAAATACATTTTAAGCCCCATGAGGTTGTCGTATACTTAAGTTTTATCGGCATTATAAAGTATAGGTTACTTTTGTCCGGACAGAGTTAATTGCCGAGCAATTCTTCAAAAACTAACTGTTCTCAGACGTGCGATAGGTAGTAAAATTATCGCACAACGGCGCGAGGCGGTTTGAGGATAATTTATTGTACCAGTCCGGTATAGTTTCAAGCACCTATATCATACACATCTATACCGACTCACTTTAAATGGCTTTTGAACGTAATCAGCTGATAAGTAAAAGGGGTTGACCGGTATGGGAGATGTACCACCGTGTGGTGGTATGCGGTAAGTATAGCTTTTTAGTTTTATCCCCATAAATCGTTTGTTTGAAATTCTATTTTTTTGCCCCGAAAATCGATGACGTGGTGACATTTTTGCTACTCAGCATTAGGCGATCGCCTACACCACTCCCTTCAGAGAGCTTTTTGTTTTTCGTATTTCTTACTTTTTTTCATTTAAGTTGATCATTTTATTTTATCAATTTTTCTTTTAATCTACTATAATTTTGACAAAATTTAGTGTTTATTTTTAAAATATGAATTTTATGTGATTTGTGTGGAAAGTCTTGTTCTAAGATATCTACTCCTATGTATGTGATCTTATATGGAATGACAGACACATGATAAAAATATGTATGGATCTCGTTTTGTTAAAGTGTATTTTTTTTTTTTGTTATTCTGAACTCATGAACTTCAAAACTCAAATACACCACAGTCCGATATCTAACCAGTCTTCAGACCATTAATATGTATAACAAGGGGTCACAAGTGGCAAATACTCCCCCCCCCCTCCAGAACCCACATACATACACATTGATAATCTAACCTTAAAACTATATAAAATATTATACTATAAAAAAAAAATAAAAAAACAATAAGCGCTAGTGGATTTGATACTTATAATAAATTAATAATATTTAATAATGTACAAGATATATCTGTGTGACGTACATTTAAATGATTGCGAGTTACTGAAATCTATATTCACTGTAGATCCGTGACGGATTAAAACTTATAAATAATTGCATAATGCCGCGAGATGTTTATTGACGCAAATAGGGTAGGGCTTTAGGGGCTCAAGCCCTCTCCAAAAATGTTTAAAGCCCAATCAACAAAAGAGAAAAAGAAAATATGTATAAAAAGTAGTTCAAAAAATCATAGTGGATCGATAGGTATAAAATATATGTATAGAAAAATAAAACACGTTTGAATGTAATATATCATAAATATTTTTCATGCGACAAATATTTCTACCAACAATATTACGTTTATCTACCATAAATCATAATTTAGATATCGGTCATAATTCTTATAATTCGATTAAAAACATTGTTACGATTTTTGAATAAGTCTTTAAATAACACTTTGTTGGTTATTTTCATTGTAAATGATGATGTTATTTTGTTAGGTCATATTATATTTTGTTGTTAATATTTTAACATAGTTGAATTATTTGCAGTAGATACCTATAGTATAAGGATTAAATGACCAATGGGACTTATTTGTCCCACTCCTTAAAAATATATATTGAAAAACCTCCAATTTTAAATTTCTTAACTTATAAATTCGTCAAAAAAATAATAATTTATAAAGGTGCAAAAAAAAAATCAAATTTCTATCACCATTTATTGTTGGTCTACAAAGGGTTAAAGAAGGTAAGTAGTATATTATTATTTAATTTTTAGTCTAAACGATGTATATTTATATAAGTTAGTGATTCTCGTCCACACCGATCGGATGGAACTTTTTTTCAAGTCTTTGAAGACGTGAGTCTTCGGCAACCCTCCCCTCTTTCAGAAAAATAAAATAAAATTTTCTGTGCTCATAATGTTTTAAAGACGATATAAAACACACTACAATAGAATGCAGGTATAATATGTGCGTACTGACCACGATCGTGGTGGTAAATCGGCGTCTGAATCTGGCCGTTACGATGAGTCCGCTGCGGGTTGGGCCATCGGACGGACGGTGAATTACGCGACCACAGTGACTGGACCAAAAAAATTGAAAAATATATTTTCTCGACAATTGGAGAACAAGTGTGGCGACTCGACGACGTCGACGGTACTTAGGCGATTTTCGAACGTGCCAGCAGCGGCGTCAGATGCATTACCGGTGCAACGTGTTCGGCGGGCGCGGTGCACGTGTCGACGTGTACGGCCGAAACGACGGCGGCGGCGGCGGCGTCGATCATCCGCGGGTTCATCTCTCCGCAGTCGAATCGGCGGCGGCCACGCGGACTCTCGGACTTCCGTCGAAGGCACACCACGGAAGTGTGATTTTAGGGGTGTAGGTGTGCCAAAAAATAATCACCTCGTTCGATTCGCGACCGTGACTGCGCCGAAGACGATTACGATTGTTTTGATGACACGACAGAATAATTGTTTTATCGTTCTACAATCAACTGGAAAATTATTAATAACCGACGACGACGACGACGACGACCGAATTAATCGGAGGCTGTATTGACACGGGTGGACGAAACATTAATGTGTTGTTGGTCCGGGAGCGCTAGGCGAATATCCGTAATAATTATAATAAATTATACGTCGCCGAAACGATAGTATTATTACACGCGATTTCGTCGGCGTTCGGGCGGGCTCGCGAAACTCGAAAATCGGACCGTCGCGCGTCGCGTACCGGGAGCGTTCAGCTACTGCCCGCGATTTTCGCAGGCTCCGTATCCGATAGCATATTTTATCCCGTCCCGCGGGCGCGCGCGCGCACTCGCACCGTTCGCACACACACACGCACACACATACACACACACACACACACATCCGCGCGCGAAGTTTTGGCAGGCGCGAAAAAAAAAAAAATAATATATAATCGCGTACACACACGCACGGACATAATGATATTAATACGAATGCACATACACGCCCGAGTCTGTGTGACTATTATAATATGCTATGGTCATAATGTACGTAGGCTATTATATAGGTGTATTACAATAATAATAATAACAATAACAATAATAAAACGGTAATAATAATATGACACAATTACCCATATTATAATCGTTATTATTGTTGTTTGAACAACACGCGGAGCTGGTAAGTCTCTGTGCGTGCGTGTGAGAGTACGGCACAGTATGTGTACGCGGATGCGATTGCAACGGGCGACGAAATACGCCGAGGGGCGGTGACCGCGGGCGTTGTTTAAACGGATGCGCCGCGGACAGTGGCGAACCAAAGTACAATTTATTGTAATATATTATAAGACGTAGGTACATAGGTTGTACTCGCGCGTATCCAAAAACGACGTGCCCGTGAGAGCTGATTTACGAAAAATAATGTAAAATAGCATAGTAGGGGGGGCGCGTAAAAAAAAGAATTTGAAAATCGAAAAATATGTAGAAATATATTAGACAACACGCGTGTTTTTGCGTGGGTGTTAGGTTTCTCGATGTGCTTAATAGCTTTTGCAGACATTAAATGCGATTTGACTGGATTTCAGACGATTGAGTTTTTATGAAAATAAATCGCTACCTACTACGGTTTTCCCATATTCCGCGATGTAAATACTAGATGGGTTGATATTGTTATTGCTATTTTTAGCTGCAGGTACCTATTGTAAAAGTTCTAAAGACTTGTTCGAAATTCGTTTGATTTTAAAAACACTTGTTCGGGTACCCAGTACAAGCAGTACAAGACGTCTTGTGCATTTTTATTTCATGATTATTATGATAAATACCACATACCTAGAAGCTAGAAAATAATTTCAAATATAAATTGATGGATTGACTAGAATTCGTCAACAACAATAATGAATTGATTAAATGCAGCAATGTAAAATGGCAGATGATCCAAGTGTTGATGGCATGCACGTATAACAAAAATAATCAAATTTTCAAATTCTTTAGTTGTTTAAATTGTTGAAACTATTTTCAAGAAAATGCGGCTGAAGATAGCATGCTACTACTAGACGTTAAAGTGTGATTGGAGAAGCTAAATTAGAGAAATAAAAATATGCGTATGGCCTGCAGGATTAGACTAGATGTTGATCGACACAGAAAATACGTGTTCAAAATATTTATAGTGTAACGTCAGTCTAGATATGAAAATTATGCGATGCACTCATTCCGTGCATCGATCAACCCGTGAGACCTTCAGCCCTTCACCCCAAATCGAAAATTTTAACTTCTAGTCACGCCATCCCAAGAGATAAATTCATACTCCTGGTATGAAAATTTATTTTTTTCGTCATGCCTATAATAGGTATAGTTCTTATTTTCTTAACGAGAATAACGTTAGCCATTGGCCGCATGGTCCGACGCGAAGGGACGAAGAGTCATATACCTAAAAGCTTTTTGGAAAATTTGAACGAACTTTTTAAATTCATATACACCGCACCTTATACCAGCGGCTGTGGTGGACAGCATGAAGAATGGCGATATTCTGCTGAACCGTACGAATTTCGATAGATCACATACACGAGATGTCAACTTTTGAACCGCTAGTAGCCGACGTATCCAGTCCGCCCATAAACACCGTAGGTATTTTACTATAGCGGTAGGGTGATGAGTAGATAAAGCCCCTACCCTCGAAAGTTAAACTGTGTGTTTTTTTTCTACATACACATAAAATGTCAAATTAGCATAAAATAAAATTTTTAAAAACGAATATCGCAGTTAAAAGATAAATACGAATTATTATAGAGACAATTTGGTATTACTGTGGAGATGCAAGGAGGGCTTCAAGAGTTGTATTGAGACATTTAATTCGCCTCCCCCACCTTCCCACATCCTTTTAGTAGAGCTTCAGATATCCTACTGCGGGTACCTTAACGTACAATTATTTTATGTATCGCATTGTTGTGCAGTTTATAGATCGTTTAGTTCACACAGACGGCACTGCCAGTGTAATATTATATATATACTACGCATTATCGTATTCTTGTACCGAACTACCGAAGGTACCCGCGTTAAGACAAAAAAAAAGAAAAAATACGAACGATCGATGTTTAAAAACTCGTCTTTGCGCGTGTATTGCTCGGCAACTCGAAAGTTATTTGGCTCGACTTCAAGTATATTATATAGTTTCTATTCTTCCGGGACACAATAAATGTGCGGACTGCGCGTGCATTATACGGAACTCGTGGAATAAAATCGGCAACGTCTACAGAGTCGGTTCGCGGAAAGTAATTTTTATTACTAGTAGGTATACCCACCTACCTATATTATCATTATTATTATTAAAAGGTACTCGTGCAATGTGTGTTCATGTACGACATGTATAGGTATATAGCGACATACCACTGGAAAGTTTGAAAATCCTCGATTCGTATAAGAAGGCGGAGTTCATAATACAATACCTTAGCATGAAACCAACCTAAATACGTGTCTATTATTTAATCTACGGTTCCTTATACACAGTTGAAATCAAATTTAAATATGTCATAGGTACCTTTCATAGTATTCGCACCCTGCGTACTGTATCACGTGTGATTTTCAATCGCTTCGACTTATCAACATAACAGCTCAATAGTACATAATTTAGGCCCTATTAAGAGGGGCTCTAAATACTGTCTGTACATAATATTATTAAAAACAATGTACACACGTTACATGATTAAAATATATTATCCGCAGAAACTACAAAATATTTACTGCAGGAAGGTTATGTGCGATATTTTTCTGCACCGTGCTTGGTCATCAAATCAGCTAGTCTAAAATCATTGGTCAATGCGGGACTTCAGAATGTGACATTTATTGATTATAATATTGCTAGGTAGATAATATAAGAAGAGCCGCAATAAATTACATTTTGTGGCATGTAAAATAAAAAAAATGCACACTAATAATATAAGTAGCCACGTCTTATGTGTTTTTTATAAGTCTAAGAATCAGCTTAAAGTAATAATATAATATAATCAATTATAGTGACATTCGACGGTGCAAGGTCATCGCCCACGGTCATTTTTTGTTGGGAGCTATCACACCATTAAACGTGCTTGCACAGTAAACAAGACCTGCAGGATGTTGATTGTAGATATAAAATGTTGTATCTACTTTGTGGTGTACTCCAAGGCGTATTATACAGTCGATGTCAGATAGATTGGCACGATAGCGGTATCGTTTATCAGTAAGTTTAGTGCAAACTAGTCGTAGGGTTGTTTATTACCTACCTGTATACATTTACATTTACAAAAATGCGGCCGACGATGATACTATCAATACATTACTTCGATTTACAAAGTTTAGAGTATACATAGACTTAACAGTTGAAAATGTTAAATTACCTCACAGTGACGTGTTTGAGGGTGGTTAGTGTGAACTTGAAAGTTGAAAGTAATAAACTCTATCTTCAAAACTTATTGAAATTTTAATATGGTCATTGTAACCAAACACAAGTTATTAAAAAATAAAATACGAAAAACTAAGCAGTGATCGTATGTAGTAGTACTTTAAACTAGATACCTATTTAAATTTCAAAAACTTGAGTCTCATATGCAATTATTTTCTTACACACCTATTTTTATTTAAGTACCTAGCAAGTAATGGTTACGTTTTACACCTAAACAAGGCCTGGGTAGTTAGTACATTCGTGATAATAGCTTATGGTTTTTTTCCGCAGATCAGAACCCCTTCCCTCCCTCATACAAAAGTCACGTTTTCACCACCGATGTAAAGAGTTTTTATGAAGGGAAGGAATTAAGCCGTTTTTAAAGAAAATTAATACAAAGACGAAATAAGTGAGTAAAAAAGGAAAGAATGGACGGATTTCAATTCCCCGTAGTTTCTCTCCACTTTGTCAACTAAACTTTCATCGATAAATAAACTCGAATTGAAGGGCAAGAGTAAAACAATTAAATATTTTGTTGTTTAACTATTTCAAATATCCACAATATACGTAATTTTATTAATTCCTTACACATTTATAGAGTCCACAGAAACTAAAATAATCTAATAATAGTTTTTAAAAACATTAAATTTGATTTGAACTTTAGGAGAACTGAAAAAGTCACTA